TGATTAAAGAGGCAAAATGTGGTTCTATCTATACAATGAAATATTATTTGACAATATAAAAAAAGGATGCTGAATCCATCAATGACTTATTACAAGATGTGGCATAGATGAAAATCAAAAGCACAGTAACCAAAAGAACCATTAACTAAAAATCAAATGCTTTATAATTTCAGAACTGTTATGTCCATAAAGATCAAATTAAATTACTTGTTGTGTATAGCTGAGGAAGCAAGAACAGGTAAAGATGTTGGATGCTGTAATGTTTCACACTATATTGATGGCTGTGCAAAACCCTTGGAATTTTATATTTTTAAATGGGCAAATTTTAAGGTACATAAAATATCTCAATGACCACTTAGGAGTGAGTATATACTGTGTTTGTCTTTCTGGGTCTCGTTACCCCATTCAGGATGATTTTTCTAGTTGTATCCTTTTGCCTGCAAATTTCATGGCAACATTTTTCCCACTTAGTAATACTTCAGTGTACAAAGCAAAGGATAACCAAGCTACGATCTTCAGCCCCAGAGAAACTAGGTAACAAGGAGGACCCAAGGATCTCCTTGGGAATAGGAAGTAGATTGGACGCCCTGAGTAAACTGGGGGTAAGGGGTAGTAGAGGGGAGGCAATAAGGGGATGGGAACCTGAAGGATCAGAATGGTCAAGTTGCAGGTGGGATGGAGGGGAACAGGAATAAAAGAGACATCATGATAGAGGGGGCCATTATGGGGTTACAGAGTAACCTGGTGCCAGGGAAACTCCCAGAATCTCACAAGGATGACCCCATCTATGACTCCTCACAGCAATGAAGAAAGTGCCTGAGCTAGCCTTCCCCTGTAATCAGATTGGTGACTACCCTAATTGTCTTTATAGAGCCTTCATCCAGTACCCGATGAAAGTAGATGCAGAGACCCATAGCCAAGCACTGGACCGAGCTCGGGGAAGAAAGGGAAGAGGGATTATATGAGCAAAGAGGGTCAGGGCAAGTCAAGATCATGACATCATGACGGGGAAACCCAGAGACAGCTGACCTGAACTTGTGGGAGCTCATGAACTCTCAATGGACATTTAGGAAGCAGGCATGGACCCACCTAGGGCTCTGCATCTGGGTGACAGTTGTGTAGCTTTCTTTTTCTGTGGGGTCCCTTGCAGTGGGACCAGGACCTATCCCTGATGCATGAGCTGGCCCTTTGGAACCTATTCCCTATGCTGGGATGCCTTATTCAGCCTGGGTGCAGGGGGTAGGAGCTTGGCCATGCTTCAACTTGATATATCATGCTTGGTTGATTCCTGTGGAAGGCCTTATGCCATCTGAATAGAGACTGAGGAGGTGTGGATGGGCAGAAGAGAGGAGTATGGATGGGACTGGAGGAGAGAAGGGAAGGGAAACTGTAGCTGTTATGTAAAATAAATACAAAAATGATGATTGAAAATTATTTATATATAAAAAAATATCTCAATGAACATGTTGAAAAACGAGCATAGCAAAATAACAATTACATTAACAGAATGGTTACTCTTTCAAAAATATTCTACTTTATATGCACGAATGTTTGTTGATGCACTATGTACATGCCTGGTGACAACAGAGACTGGAAGATGGCATCAGAAACCCTGGAACTGGAGTTATTGACAGCTGTGTGTGCTGGAAACAGAACATGGTTTCTCTGGAAGAGCCATAAGTGTTTAGTCACCTCCCCAACCCCAAGAGTTGTTACTCTACATAGAACTTCAAAACAGTTACAATGGGATAATTAGTAATATTCAGAAACCAGAATGGTGGAAGGTGTTGGGGCAGACAACCAGTAGATACAAATTAATCAAACATGAATCACTTTAATTGTTTTTATTGGAATTCATCAGAAGAAAAGAAGACCTGTGTTATGTAGACAAGGATTCATGATGAACCCTATATATTTTAAACACCAACAAGTGGTTAACAAAATCCATGTGAATTCTGCATTTTCCTTTTTACATAATGAATGACATCTGATTTCACCAAAATTCCCTGAATGTACTTATTTTCCAATCAAAACAAACTTTGTTTCAAAATTCTCTGTTCACCTATTCTCAGGATAATGAATAAGTGTTTACATTTATCAATACCAGTAACAATTTATAGTATTTCATGAAAATTGAACTTTCTAAAGAACAAAAATAAAAGCAACTTGAGATACAATCTTACTCCTGCCAGAATGGCTAAAATTAGAAACACCAATGATGACTCATGCTGGAGAGGATGTGGAGAAAGGGGAACACTCCTCCACTGCTCGTGAGAGTGCAAACTCGTACAGCCATTTTGGAGATCAGTATGGCGGTTCCTCAGGAAAATGGGAATTAGTTTACCACAGAACCCGGCAATCCCACTATTAGGCATATACCCAAATGATCCACATCCATGCAACAAAGACATCTGTTCAACTATGTTCATAGCAGCACTATTTGTAATAGCAAGAACCTGGAAGCAACCTAGATGCCCCTCAATTGAAGAATGGTTAATGAAGATGTGGCACATCTATACAATGGAATACTACTCTGCAGAAAAAAAAAATAATGGTATCTTGAAATTCGCAGGCAAGTGGATGGCACTTGAAGAAACCATCATGAATGAGGTAAACCATTCACAAAAAGAGGAACATAGTATGTACTCACTCATATATGGATTTTAGACCTAGAACAAAGGATCACCAGCCTATAATTCACACCACCAGAGGAACTAGGATACAAGGGTTATTCTAAGAGATTCATATAAAGTCCCTCACATAACCAGGAAGGGACAAGTCCCCCAGAGCACAGGGGAAGTGGGGGGGCAGCGAATGGAGAGAGAAGTAGGAGAAAACGAGGGGGAGGAAAGGAAAACACGTGCGACCAGGAAGATTAAGATGGGTTAAGAATAGAAGACAGGAAAGAGAGAGAGAGAGAGAGAGAGAACATAATAGAGGGAGCCAATATTGGTTTGAAGATAAAGTTGAACACAAAGAAAGGTCTAGAGAACTACAAGACTGCTGCCAACTAAATATGTGCTTCAGTGGAAAGGCTATCATAAATGCCCTTCCCGTGTAGTGAGATCAACAACTACCTTATCCATGGAGCCCTCAACTAATGTCTGTTGGAAACAGGAGCAAAGATCCATACATAAACACTGTCGAAGTACAACCCAGATGCAGAGGGAGAGGACAAGACCAGATGGCAGAAACACATAGAGACAGCTTACATGAACAAGGAGGAGCTAAGGGCCCACCAGACTGATAGCTGGGAAGCCAGCATGGGACTGACTCAGGCCCCCCTGAATATGGGTCTCAGCCAGAAGGACTGAGCAGTTTAAGGGACCTCAGACAGTGGAGCCAGGATGTATCCCTGGTGCACAAAAGGACCTTGCTAACACATCCTCCATGGAGGGATAACTGCCTTAACCTAGAGACAGGAGAGAAGCCCTAGTCCCTACTTCACATGACCTGTCAGATCTACATGACCCCAACAGGATGGCATTCCCCTACATATGGAATTGGGGTGGGGGGATGGGAGGGGAGGGTGTTTAGAGTGCATGTGAGAGGGCAGAGAGGGTAAAAGGGAGGGAGGGAGGGAGAGGGAACTGGGATCGGCATGTAAAATAATAAATTAAATAAAAAAAATGCTTTGACTCCAAAATTAAGTTCAAGGACAAGTTACTGGGGAAAAGGATTTCTATTTTTGTTTCCACAGAAAATGAAAAGCTGTGGATTCCTTCCAGACTAATGTGGTTTGATTAAGCCAGACCACCTGAAACAGAGTACCAGGTGATCCTACATTCAAAACAGCTGGACAAAGCAGCCTTACAGACTACAGCCAGGATTTCTGCATCTTCTTAGAATCCCCCATGACAGTGCCCCTTACCAGCAGGAAGTGGTTTGGGAAGAACGATGCCCAAATTCCCAAATATTGTCTATAAATGTTTGTTTTCATTTAAATGGACTTGGTTATATAAAATAAATACATAAATCAATAAATAAAATTTTAAAAAAAAGTACCAGGGCAACAGGATATTTTATTATTGTTCAAAGGTTAAACAGAAAGATTTAGGGCATGCCACCTTCAGTAACAAAGAAAAATAGAACAATTTAATTTATGCCTGAGCTATATTACATTGTCAATCTGATATACAACTTTATATTCTATTAACAGCTTTTAAATTAATTTTAAATTTTTATAGGCAAGAGCCCCAACCTGAGAAAAAAAATAAAAGAAAATCTAATGATCCTGGGATTATGAAGAAAAAAGCAACTTCTACAAGCAAATCATGTTTCTATATTACTTAATTGCAATTGCCATCAGCCCTTTACCCCTTAATATGCAATGTCTATAAATTAAGTAAGTTGGATGCTTCATTCTGAATTTGTCATGAGTTTATGATAGTGAACATAATAAATTAAATGAATAAATTACTAGTTTTAAATAGAGGGCACAGTGAGTATAGTAGTTAATCTTCAGAAAACTAAACCTGAGGGTAAAATAAAAAGAAATATAGCTTAAATTTGATTTCCATGTTTTCCTTCCCTATGGACACATTGTTTTTTAAACCAGTGATGATGTAGAGCACAGAGGCTTATGAATTATATTTGAAATATGTATGGAAACATCACAAAAACTTTTAAATGCGGAATTGTAAAACTTAAATTTCTCTAGGGAGTTTTACTCTAAATAATACATTTAGGATTCTAATAGATGGAAGGCTAGCACTTTCCTAGTACAAGTAATTCATTTTATTTTTCTTTAACTACATTATTATAATATGCTAATTTGGGAACAAAATTATGATTACAATATTTAGAAGCAAGTTTAAAGTATTTATTAGAGGTCATGATTGGATATGGTGATATGTTACTATATGTCAAAGAATATTAAAAACTAAGATAATTAACCTTAAAAAAGAACAAAACTTCTAAAAGGCAAATGAGCTCCAAAATATGAAATTACCAAATTATCAAGTCTGATTTATTAACACAAATACGCCAAACATAATATCAAAAGCATCAAGAATTTTATTTCCCAGGCATGTACTGTGGAGCTTCTTTCAAAACTCATCTTAATCCTCAGAATTTTATTTCCTTTTCTTTCATCTCTCAGGCATGTTTCTCAGTTGACAAAACAGAAGGCTTCTACTGGAGAAGACTCGATCTAAACTTTCATTTTAAATGTACAGATTTAAGTTGATTTCAGGTTATTATCCCATGGATATAAACATCATCCAATGCAACTATTTTTGAATAACACCTGTCTGAAACAGTATTATTTAATACAAAACAAAAGTTAAATTGTCCACATAGAATATCACCTGCTGCACTTAGCAATGTTAAGGAAAAATAATAGCTAAAATTATTTTGCTCACTCCAGAATCCATTAAAAGCACTCTATTTCCCACAGAGTTCTCTGAGAAATATTTTTTTGTAAAAAGAAAAAAGTAAAAAAGGATTACTTTTGACTCCAATACATAGTCCAAAATTTATGTCACTTTAGTTTTTACTGGGAAATTGTCTTCAAATTGTTTTGCTTATTTGTTTTGTTTTGTTTTTCTCCTTTCTAACCAACAATAAAAGAAAATTACTCATCAAAATTATTGTACATTATTTAGAGGCCAGCGACACATAATTTCCAAAAACATTTATTTTAAAGCATCAAATCAAGCTTGAATTTCAGTAAACAAAACTATTGCTTCATTTTATAATGAATTTTTGTGGAGTGCAGTCTTACAACAGCAGATATTACACAGTAATTTGAAGTAAAGCGTGATTGCATTCATAAAAATAAAGTAACACATAGAAAGATACAGTATCAGTACCTTCTGGTTAACTGAATTGGGTCATGTTTATCTTCAAAATATTTCAAATGTTCCTTTTCTTTGACACTTGAACTTTCTGGCAAAATAAAACCATGCCAATGATTCTTTCTGCTTGGACTGATGCATTGACACAATCTGCCTAAACTGAAACAAAAAGTTCAGCTATCGAGAGAGTGGCATTCATGATCACTAGCTATATTAAAGCAGGAGAAGGTAGCCATTAAGATTTCTTTTAGCAAATACCAAAGGAAAGTAAATGTTGAGCAAAGACAATCAAGATATTATATAATGGTTAATTAAAAGCCTGAGCTCTTTGCAAGAAGGGCCAATTTAAAATTAATTGCAATCTTCTTTCCCTGACTTAAAATTTCATATTTTTACTGATGCAAACAACTTAGAAGCATAATTATGTTATAACTGTATCAGTAAACAAGGAATCTGCCAGTGGAATGCATTCAATGCTTCTCTTGTGGGACGCCAACTATTTTGATCACTGAATGTGCAATAAAAGGTTACATTTGAAACCAGAAAAACTTGTGGTTCAGGACATACACATTGCTTCCATGAAAGAATGAGAATTTCCCAGTCACCATAGGAAATTAAAATGCCTAACACATCATAAACATAACTTGCAAATACATTTCAGCAACATCACATCAAAATATTCATGATTATTAATGAGGCAATTTTGGAATTAGTTTCTTTCTCTCTTTCTCCTCTGTTAATTCCTCAATGTTGAAATGAAAATATCTTTAAGCTACACAGAAATATCAAAAAAAAAAAAAAAGAAGATATGTTTTTCCTTTTTTTGAAAAATCCTTACAGAACATAAAATATCTTGGCAGATAACAATACTATTCTATGATATCTACTTAAAGTTTTAACTTCATCTCTCATTTTCTCACTACCATGTTCACATTTAAATTATGCTTGTTTGCATGCGAGAACATCAACTAATCTATTATTTCAACAGTATTGCCTATTTCTTTTGAAGCCAAGGTTTTTAGAAAAGCAATGGAGATTCACTCTTTTTCAAGATGCTGATGGAAGAATGCATGACACTCAAGCTTGCTGTTTTGCCTGGGCTTCTGCTTCCTGGAATACAAAACAAACAAAACATACATTTAAATATCACAAAGCAGATACTCCTATTCATCTTGATTAAAACAAATTAGCAATTACTAAGATTATTCAAAAGCACAGTAATGATTTCCATCCAGAAGGGAAAAAAAGGCTTTAAAATAATTAGCAGAGGCTTTCATCATGCTGAAAAGTGCTATGCAGGTTGCTTCAAGAGAACAGGCATCAAATTCTTATTCAGTTGTGAACTCTGTATGCCACACAACCAACTCACCAGGCAAGACAGGACCACTCGGAAAATGATGGTGTGACTTTTATGGGGGTTAGCAACACCTTTCTAATTGGATTTGAAGCTTGCTCCACAAGAGGAAATTCTATCTGGTTCTGTGATCCTGGTAAGAAGACCCTGGGTGGGGAGGTCACAGGTACTAGGAAGAGCCTACTATTGTTTTATTAAATGTTTATGTTGTATTCATCAAACTGCCTTCTAAGTGTTTCTGTTTATCAGCATGGAATTGGTGTTCCTTACAAACTTGGTTAAAAAAGGTTCTTTTGCAGTGAGCAGCAGCTAGTAACTGGTAAAAGTACTACTGAAAGTGACTGTTGAATACTCAGTCATCAATGATACATCTATACCACCACCCCTTCCCCAAGTCTGAAAAAGCACTTTGGAAGACAATAGAAGGAAAGAACCATAGGATGGGAATGTTATAGAATGCCTTTTAGGCACAACATGACCTTCCCACTGATCTCATGAACTCACAGGGTGGTTACCTATAGAAGAAGGGGCTCTGACAACATTCCCTCATGGAATTAAGGGAGGGGTTTGTGAGGCCCTGACTATCCTTGAGAAGAGATTGGTAGTTATCTGTTAATGGTTGCAGTTAACAGCTACTGAGGGTGGGGGAAGGTAAATTTTCTTAAATGGTGTATATGCTCTGGCAAATGCCTCCCAAAGTATGCTCATATCAGCAACCCTTTTTTAAACACAAAGGCATAGAAGTAAAAGTGGAATTGCATGGAAAAAAGAGGTTTTGGGAGAGGGAGATGGGTACTGGGATAAACATGATCCAAATACATTATATACATGTATGATATTATTTTTAAAGTAGTTTGTTAATATAAAACATGTCTCTAACCATAATTCTCAACTATGGTAATGGGTTACTACTACAAGAGACTTTTCTAGCCAAATCATTTTCTTCTTAAAGACAAATAACAATGGATTTATTTTTTCAGCAAAGTGTAAACTACTTTATTATTTTCTATCTTAAAATCATCACTTTCACTACAAGGTAGGAACTGCCAGTGCTAAGAAGTACTTTCTGAATTGGTTAAAAAAAGAAATTAGTAGTATCCACTCCCTCTTAAATGCCCTGGTACACAAAGGGAAAATAAAGCATATTTATTTGTCTTCCACATTAACATGCTTTATCAAATTTTTTTAGTGCTGTTCTTTAATGTAGCAAGCTTTCTACTGCATTAGTTTTCAATAATTTTAAAGGGTATGCACTATTAGCTGTATGAAAAATAAACAATAAGAGAAAGTCTTTTCTATTTCTATTGGCTATGATTCCTTCCAGGCTCTTTTTTATCTTGTGCATAGGTTTTGAATAGAATCCGAGAATTATACAGTAAAAACAAAATCTATACTATAACTCATTTGCATATATTTTGCCACAAGCAACCATAGTTCTCTCTTATCAATACAGGAAATATTCCAACTTCCAGTGGACACCTTATAAAACTCATAAAAACAAGCATAGCTAGAAACTACCAACCATAACTAATGATAGTGCATTAAAACATTAGACTCTATTAAAAGTTATGTGACCATAGTTTTCCTCCTTCTCTGCTGCTACTGAGCAGGTGGTGAAAACAGACTAGATGAGCTTGGCAAAAGGGCAATTCAGATCCTGTATGGAGTGGACTGGGATGCTGAGGGATTGATTGCAAATCACACTATTCAGACTGACAAAAATACATAGGTAGCTTGCTTAGGAATTTTTAAATTATTATTTCCAGAGTGAACAGAACTATGGAAAGTGAGAATGTATAAGAGGAAACCATGATAAAAAACTTTTCTAAGTATCAGCATGAGCTCACTAAATGGACTAATAGTTTTTGTTGGATCCATTGTTGCACATTTGTTTCCAACATTATAAATAACATCCACATACACAAAATGTATACATAAATTATATGACTCTCTTCTTTTATCCCTAAAGGCCATTAATGAATTAATGTAGTTGACAATACTTTGAAACACTGAACTTTTCTACAGAGGTTTGAGAATATGGATTATATTTTGATTCATGCTTTTATCCATACAGTTGTTCCTACATCTAGAATTACTTTATCAGACTATATATTACTCAGTGTGAAATTTCTGGGTGAAACAGTAGAGTAACATTCTTGAACTTTTTTGGCAAATATTTGCTCTTCTTTTTTCAAAGGAGAATGAGAGCTTACAATTCCTAAAGTATTATTTGTTTCAATATACTTTGCCATCAAGAGTCTTACCATTTTGTTTTATTTTTACTAATTTCACATGTAAAAATTTCATCTCACGTTACTACATTTTATGGATTAACTACTGAATTTATTTTTTGCACAAGCATCTTGTTAATTGTCAAAGCTTATAATGTGACTCTGCTTATCTTGCCTTCCAAATCCATCACCCTCTTTGTTAAAGTTATTTTACCTTAAGGACCTCTCAGTTGTTTTCATGAAATCTTAAAACATCCTAAAATAGAAATCTGGTTATAAAATACCATCCCTCTAATGGTCCCAGTGCATAGTATACTCCTGCTAAATTTAGTTTCTTAAGACAATTTTTTTTTGTAGCAAAATGGACATGTAATCCCATTACTGGGGAAGTCAGGTGCTAGGATTAAGGCAACTGGAATAATATCCTGTCTCAAAGTAAGAATGGGAAATATGTAGATTACATTGAATTAAACCATGTCTTTAAATACTGAAATAATCATACCAGTAACCAGGTGTAATGGCCCATACCTTCAATACCTCATGAGACAGAGGATGGCAGATAAATGTGAGTTTGAGAACAGCCTAATCTACATAGCACGTTCCAGACCAGCTAGGGACAAAGTATGACAGTGACAGACAAACAGCAAAACAAAAATCATACTATGACTTTCCCGATTTTCCATAGTGACTTTTGGGTGCCTAACATATAAAGGTGAAGCTACCATACACAGCAATCATTACCTGTTATCAACCTATCTATCCAATCTTAAACCTCTTAACACGGTGTCCTTTGTTTAATACCCCCTATTCTGAACCTACACTGCACCCCTATTCTGAACCTACACTGCACTACATTCTGTTCCCTTGATGTAAGAACATAATGTGCAATTACATGCTCCTATACAATGCTTTTCATTGTTGTCCCTATGAAAAAAATGACTTAGTGTCATTCAATATTTTGAAATTTCCAACAGCTTTCTACTGAAAAAGTCTCCAATCTCCTCAATAAGAATTCATGACTATCTTCATGAATTCCTATAGCACTTTATTTATTAAAGTAGAATAGAATTTACCATAGTATGTCTTCAATTATAATTATTCACACATTCATTATATATTCCTTGGCACATATATACTCACTAGGTTATAAGAAAAATGTAAGGATTATGTCATACTTAGTTTTTTTCCACCATCAACTTTATTGTGTGACAACTGATAAACATTTGGTGAGTGGATAAATTCTAATTTTAATTGAAGGGGAAAGTCATCAGCGACAGGAAATAGACTCCCCTTTCTTTTGCACTCCCTCTGATCTGCATTAAACTCAATGGCTTAATTGGGCCTCACCAATTATTTGTCTAAATAATTAAATTATTTGTTTAAATACTTAAATATAAAACCACTTTTCTTCTGACTTGATTCAGTTTTTACAAAGCCTAAAATATAACGTTTATCCATGGGAAAGGAATGTTTGGCAAGGAAGTAGAACTTCATAGTGAGACAAACATATTTACAAACCCTGTCTGGTGAAAACCTAGATGGTATTATAGGTTCTCAAGATTGAAAAAGGAACTGGAGTTTAAATAAATTGCTCAACCTAAAATCTATTGCTAAAAGTGGAACACAGATTAGTGCCACAGGGGTAACATATTTTGATTAAATGAGTTGGAATGAAAAAGAGCAAATGGAAAAGACAAAGGTCTACTTAAAGTCTGTAGCTTTGGGGCATTTTACTGGACAGGCAATTTTGTGTGTTTGCTTTCATTCTTTATTTGGGCTCCCCTGGGAACACTGTCACTTCAAAAATTAATTTGTCTTGGCAAGGAACAAAACACCAAATTTAGCTGGCAATTTAATGACCAGTTTTGTAACCCAAATGTTCATCTCACACTTGAATAGCTTGGTTCTAGCATATTCTCTCACTCACAGCTAGGAAATGCTGCTAAGGAGATGGTCATAGACTAAGATGCTTGATGTCCGTGTAGAACTGTGCGTGAGAACTGGAATAATGGAGCTTTAATGTTGGCAATCACTTATTTGAGAATGAATAATGATATATCTACTGCCTTAGGCAGTTTGATAAAGAAGTCACTTAATAATCTACTTCCTGCATACACTGTGTGTTTTATGCACGTTTGTCTACCCTGTTAGGGATTAAGCACACATATAACAAACACTGTTCTAGACTTAACCTGAATATTTAACAGGGAGAACTTCTACTGATTAAAAAAACTCAGTAGCAACAAGATAACCAACAATGAAGTAAGCAGAGGAACCATACCTTTGAACCAGGTGGTGCAGTCAAGCCCAAAAAGGCATAAACTGCATTATTTTCTCGGGCTTCAAAGAAGGCATCATAGTCCTTTGTGGAAAGAAAATAAGAATTAGCAGCCTGCAACCCAACAAAAGAAAGAGATATGTCACAATAGATGACTGGATCAGCTGTCTTCTTGGGGGCTAAGCTCCGTAATGCTAAAACTCTGGAAGGGGTAATAAGGAGATGGGCAGGCTTCTGAGACTACATTTGTGTAATACCAACTTCCAACTTCGGAAGCTGAGGCAGAAGGATCACTAATTCCAGGCCAAACTCTGGGTAAGTAGGAAAACACTGTATCCCAAAAAAAAAAAAAAAAAAAAAAAGAAAAGACCTGTAAAGTTAATGTTACAGGAGGTAGAAGAAAGAAAAAGAAGAAGAAAAGCCCAGACAGCATTATGAGACCAAAAAAAAAAAAAAAAAAAAAAAACCAGTAAGTCCATTTTGTGATAGTTTCCAGTTTTGCCCTTTTAATGACAGTTTTGTGTGCAAATGTGTGTGTCTCTGCATCTACCTGTTTTTTGTGTTTTTTCTTCGACTTTTTTTCCTGTTTGTTTATTTCTTTATCCTATTTGTTTGTCTGTTATTTAATAATGTTTTATTTCACTTTACTATTATTTTTAGATAACTGTTTGTTTCCTAACAACAGAAGGCAAGAAACAGTGTGCATTTGGGTAAGTGGACATGGGAGGAGTTCAGGAGGGGAAACCACAATTGTATATTGTTTGAAAAAAATCTATTTTCAATGCAAAACAACAACAAAACACAAACAGGAGAGGGTGGAGGAAGGGAGGAAGGGATTCTGGGTACCATTTAATGTGTACTAGAAGGAATACTGGTCTTTTAGGCAGAAAATACAAAATGGTTTTTTGCACATTGCACAGGATTTACATCTGCTTGCACCTTTCTACCCTACCAAAAGCAAGCATTACTCAGCAGTAGATAACTTATTTCTAATGGGAAACCCATTCCAGTTCACCATATTTCTCTTCTGTTACTGACTTTAATAGTGATTTCCTCAGCCTGAAATGAAACCAGTATTAGCTCCATATGCATAAGGTCAGAAGACCAGTGAGACTGTACTGTCTTTTCAAAGAAAGCAAAGTGTTCTTGAAATAGCAAAAGAAGCTTCAACACTGAGGATACAAAAGAATCTTGCCATGTCTCAATTTGATTCTGCTTTACATTGCTGTCCTAGAAGCCAATAAGCCTTCACCAAAAGCAGCAGCTAGACTTAGTAGCAAGTAGACTAGTCTACAATTGTAACTTGTGATCAGCAGCAAACACAGTTAAATGTCTATTTTCTCTACTTTGCCTTGATTAGTGTGATTTGGAAACAGGGACTCTTGACATTTTGGTCGATTTCTTAAAGCTCAACTTGCTGAAATCTCTAGATAATGTTGTAGGTTTTATAGCTCTGAGGGAAAAGGTATCCTGTCAGTTGGACAATAAGGCTAAGAAGTAGTTTGGGGCTCGAGCATTTGTCTATCATGTGTATAATACTGACTGAAACATGCAACAACATAGAAAAAGGACAGACACAAAACTTCTGACAATACCTACAGCTGAAAAGAAAGCTGAATATCAGGAACCCTTAAACAAGAATGCAAAATGGCACAGTCAATCCAGAAACATTTCAAATCCTTTATAAATTAAAAATATAATCACTGTGTTAAGTAGTAAACACATTCCTGGCATTCAATCCTGAGAATAGAAAATTACAGAAAATACAAAAATCAGAAAATAAATTCTCAAAGTACTTATAATCACAATGGCTCAGATCTGGAAACAATGAAACTGTCTGCCATTGTACTGTGGTTAAACCAAATATCGTATAATGATATACCACCACTCAGCTACATGAGTGAACAAGTCCTTGGTGTGGGCAACAACCTGAATCTCAAATACATCTAATTCACTGAAAGAAGCCAGTATCTAAAAACTACATACTGCATGAATCCATTTATATGGCCTTATCAAAAAGACAAAGTTATAGTGATAATGATATATTAGTATTTGCTAGGCATTGGAGTAGGCATAGCATATACCTATAAAGGAATATCATGAGAGTTTAAGAAATGGTTCTGTATTTTCATTGTGGCTTTAGTTACAGAAACCAGTGCAATGTTAAAATTCATAGAAAACCACACACCAAAAAGTCACTACTATAGTCTAAAATTTCAAACATTAAACTTATAAAAAAGACAAGTAATAAAAGTACATTTTAGGGAAAAATGACAAAAATTAAAATATACAAATGAAACAAAAATAAGTACTGGAAGTGGGGGGATATGTGTGTGGGGTGTGTGTGTGTTCTACCAAGCTGACTGTGAGAATTTAAATATAAAAGTTGCCAAAGCTAAAAATACAAATAAATGTAAATTCAAGTTAACTCAATTAAAAATGAACTGAAATACCTGACTAAGACATGCAGCAAATGAATATCTACAAAAGGCCATTAGGCTTATGAAAAAAACTGTCCATCACAATGAATTATTGAGGAATTCACAATTAAAATCACAGTGAGAAACCACCTTTAACCATACAAATGTTACGCTTTTCATATGAACAAAAATTTAGCAAGTGTTCAGAAAGATGTAGAGTAAGTAAAACCTTCCACATGATTGCACGTGAATGTAAATTAGTATAACCATTATAGAAATGTGTGTGTGTGTGTGTTCCTTAGAACATTAAAAATACAGCTGTCTTAGGCCAGCCTGTTTTACATAGCAAGCTCAGGGACAGCCAGGATTGAATAGAGAGGCATATCTCAAGAATAAAAGTAAAACTATCCAAAGGAGATGAGATCATTATGGACATAAGTCTTATACATGTTGTACCAGTACTCATGGTGAAGGCAAGTGAATTGCCTGAATTTGAGGCAAGTCGGGCCTATAGAGAACCCTGAGTTCTTTATTGAAGAATAAAATGAAAAAATGCAAAGATAGTCAAAGAGATTGCTATAATCAGATATTTACTCCAGCACTAGTCACAATAGAAAAGAAATGGAAAGAGCCTGTGTCCTGCAATGGATAAAAGAAAAAAGAAAATTCAGCATGTGTACACAGTAAAACACCATTCAGCCTTTAAAATAAAGTACTGTTATCTCTGACATGGACGAACCTAGAGAAGACATTAAGCAAAATTAGAAATACAACTGTGGAAAGTTTACCATAAATGCCCTTCCCGGATAGTGAGATCAACAACTAACTTATCCACCATCATGGAGCCCTCATCTAATACCTGTTGGAAACAGAAGCAAAGACCCATAACTAAACACTGAGTTGAACTAGAATCCAGATGCAGACGGAGAGGACAAGATCAGGTTACAGAAACACATAGAAACAGCTGACCTGAACAAGGAGGAGATAACGGGCGCCCAGACTGATAGCTGGGAATCTAGCATGGGACTGACTCAGACCCCCTGAATATGGGTCTCAGCTAGAAGGCCTGAGCAGTCTAAGGGACCTCAGACAGTGGAACCAGGATGTATCCCTGGTGCACAAAAGGAACTTGCTAACACATCCCCCATGGAGGGACACTCCCTTAACCTAGAGACAGAAGTCCTAGTCCCTACTTCAAAAGACTTGATAGATTTACATGACCCCACCTGGATGGCATTGCTCTACATGTGGAATTTGGGTGGGGGGTTTGGAAGGGAGGGTGGTTAGGATGCATGTGTGGGGGAAGAAAGGGTAAGAGGGAGGGAGAGGGAACTGGGATTGACATGTAAAATAAAAAGAAATAATAATAAGAAAGAAAAAAGAAAAAGAATGAGACAGTCACATGATCAGACCTGTTAACATTCCCTCATCAACAGAAGGTGAGAAGGATCATTAAACCTTTACCTGAGACTGCAGCCACACATTTCTTCCTGCTCCCTCTCCCAGGAATATGCAACTTTTGAGACTTTTTGGTGATACAGCTGGTTTTAGGTTATTAACTCTCCTACAAGTAACCTTTAACCCATGTCCCTATAAGTAGACCCAATGAATCCATCAGTTCACCAAGTTGGATTTGGAAATATTGTTACTTTGGTCTATCATTTGTGACAGATCTGGGGTGAATAGACATATATTTTCATCTCCCCAAATCACAAGAGTGTGGGGTAAATTTGTATTTCAATGAAAGGGGTATTCATTTCTGATGGACATGGGTAAAGGAATATTGATAGTGACGGAAATTGGTTATAGGGAACATACAAAATTCAATAAATCAAATTTGTGTAAAAAAATACCATATTTTGACTACTGAATTAATGAATTTATGTACAGTGCTAGCATTTAATGAGTATATAAAGTGAAAGATTTTATTATAAAATCTGTGTGTGGTGTGTGTGTGTGTGTGTGTGTGTGTGTGTGTGTGTGTGTGTTGTGTGTATGTGCATACAGGTGTGCATATGTGTGTAGCAGTAAGAGGCCACTCTCAGATGTGCTCTACCTTATACTTTGGAACAGGGTCAGTCTCCTATTGAACCTGGAACATCTCTTGCCAAGCATCTTAACATGGGAACGGGGGTTATGAACTCAGGTTCTCATGCTTGTACAGTAAAAACTTAACTGAGTCATTTCCCCAGCCTCACATTATGGGATTTTCACATGTAATTTTTGTTGCTTTGCTTCCCCTACTCCCTTCCCCAACCTGCCTGCCCCCTTCCTCCTCCCACTATTTCTCTTCTGCTTTTATGTCGTATATGCACTGCTACCTTCTCATTTGCTTTTTTAAAATCCCCTCTATACTTGACCTTTAAAGCTTCTTCCCCCCTTCTCATGGTCTTTTGTCTGTTTTATGACCTGTGTCTACACACACACACACACACACACACACACACACACACACACACACACACACACACACATACAGCATCCACATGTGAGAAAGAACATGAGTGAGTATTCACCTTCCTTTTCTGGATTGTTGCTTAAGGTCAAAATGTCCAGTCCTAACACAGAGACACACAACTGTACAATGTGCAGAGAGTGAAAGACTTTGCCACACCCAGCCCCAAATGGGTTGTCTCCATCAAATACCCTTCTCTCAGGCCTCAGGGATCTATAATGAAGATGGGGCAGACTATAAGAGCAAGAGGGGATGGAGGACACCAAGAAAGCAAGGCCCTCTATATAAACCTGATCAAAGCTTATATGAAATCAAAGAGACAGGGCCAACATAGTTCTAAACCAGATTGGGTCCTAGTGATGAGAGGAGAAGTGGACATAGCCCCCATCCCTAAGCCAAAAGCTATCTCCAACTGACAACAACTTGCAAAGGACAAATTAATTTTCTCCAGTATAGTCTCACTGCGTGTATGAGTCACATTTCTGGGCAGGCCTTGTGCCCAGCAGCAGATAGCTAAAACAAAATAAACTTGATGATATTTGGGGAGATACTTATTTTGTTTTGTAACACTTTGAACATTTTTTTTATCTTAGTGGTCTCTTGCTTCTATATTGTGGTTTCCAGTTTTGCATTTTCATGGTGTGTGTGTGTGTGTGTGTGTGTGTGTGTGTGTGTATGTGTGTGCATTGCTAGTGCTCTTAGTCTCTTTCTTGCCTGTTTGTTTTCTAAGAAGCCAGAAAAAGAAGGTGAAGTCAGATGAGAGGGAAGATGAACATGATCTGGAAGGAGTTGGGGGAAGGGAAACTATGATCAGAATATATTGCATGAAATATTTATTATTATTATTATTATTATTATTATTATTATTATTATTATTGAGACAAGGTTTCTTTGTATAGGTGCCCTAGAACTGGCTGTCCTAGAACTAGTTTTGTAGACCAGGCTGGCCTCAAACTCAGAGAGATCCACCTGCCTCTGCCTCCTGAGAGCTGGGATAAAAGGTGTGTGCCACTTTACCTGGCTGAAAAAATTCTTCTCATTAGAAATAATAACAGTAATTACTAGTTCCAATTAGTTTCTTGCAAACATTGTGACTTTGTTTTTCATTATAACTGGATAAAATTCCATTTCCTCCCATTTTTGGCCATTTATCTATTGATAAATATCACAATGTGTATTCTCACTCACATGTGAAATTTGAACAAATCAAGCTTATAAAAGCAGAGACTAGTACCAATAGTACCAATGTATTTTTCTTACTTCCTGTATATACTTTTGAGTTCCTTACTCCAAAGTGAAACTAGCAGGGTTCTGACAACAATTCTATGCTGAGACTGGTAAGTTACTCAAGGTTTAAAAAACACACAGTATCTACACTTCACCAGTTGCAAGTAAACAAAACATAATTCAAAAGAATCCAGTGTACCATACATCGTGGTACATGCCTGTATTCCTACCACTTGGCAGACAGAAAACTAATCGTGAATTCTAGACCTTCCAGGAGCATATAGCATCCTCTAGGTCACCCTGCACTGGATCTTGGAGACCCTGCCTGAAAAGGGAAAAATGTAAGAGCCATACAGCACATTATTTTTATTATCAAAACATGATAAAAAACAACTTAGATAAGCCTTCAGAGTCACATGAAATAAAGCAATTAAGTCTCCAATCTGTATAAAAATCTGGTAATATAGTGCTATGTAGAGGATCTAGTTGCCTATCTCAAGTATTTCAGCATCAACTTATATTACCACATGTTGGTTCCAGACATAGAAAGAATAAATGTATTTGTGAATCTAAGAAGAAAAAGAACATTTCCTTCAATTAAACCAGATCAATGTAATTGTTTCACAAATATTTATTAAGTATACAATTATATAAAATTAATACTGTTTTGTTTTCTTTTCTTTGAGAAATGGTCTAACTATGTAATCCAGGGTAGGTTCAAAGTTCTTATCTTCCAGACTTTATCTCCAAAAATGAGCTGGAATTTCAGGCATATGCCCCCATGCCTGGCATAAATAGTGTTCTTGGTATTAAAAGCATAACAGTAAGCAAGATATTTCAATTTCTGGAGCAATTCTCTTAGGGAAAAACATGTAAAGAAACTTTATAACTCTGGAATGTCAATAACATTAACCAAGAATGTATGACACTATATTTTGTATCATATTAATTCTCATTCTTATGTACAGCAAGACTTTCAGAACAAGGATACTCCTTATAAATTTTATATCTTCTATAACAGAGTTTCACATGCCTAGGTATGATAATAGCCTCTGTCACCATCTAGTCAGATAAGAAGAGTCTGTGCCACAGTCCAGTGACATTCAGTAGGAGATAATTCCCACACAAGAGCTATCTGGCAATGCCTACTATCATTTTTCATTGTCCAGAAAGTGAGTACTACTGCCACTGCATGGGTAGAAACCAAAATTCCTTGCGAAAGATCCTACAATGCACAGGGAAATTGTCCTTCAAAGGTGGCAGTGAGTACCAAGATTGTGAATTCCTCACACAAGTAAAAGCAAATTAATATGGAAAACTGATCACTCAATATCTCTAAGTACAAAAGACAAACAGGAGACAGTGAGGATGCAGAGATTTGCGATAGTAAGACATTGCTAGCAAAGCTGCTTGGTACTCAGGATTGGTATGAGAATTAGTACAATGCACAAAGTGCACACCATAATCACTAGCAGATAAGTTTTCTGTGAATGACTGCTGCAAGTTCTTCTCTCTGAGTTTATAAAATCAAAATCTTAATTCGTGTTGTCATTAAACTATTAGGCACAAAATGGCACTAAGGAGAAAATGGATTCCATTTCCACTAACAGATATGTATTTGGCTTACCAAGTCTCACTTCCTAGGGTTTTACTTCCATCTTTGTAATTCTTAGTGATACCTGCCTTTTTTTTCCTGTAACCCATTCCCCTTAAGTGTGGCTTCCAAGAAAGAGGTAAACCAGACAACTATGGCTTCCTAATGTACTCTTGTGATCCACACTGTGTTTGTTTTCAAAAAAATCAAACAACAGACATTTGAAAAAGGAAACTGCAATAATATGTTTTATGTTTTCCAAGAATTAAGGGGATTTTGAAAGTTCTCAACACACACACACACACACACACACACACACACACACACACACACACACACACACACACCCCAAATGGCTGAAGACAGAAAATGTGTTCATCTTTTTTGTGGTCTAGACACACTTGGATCAAAACATCACATGGCAAAATAAGAATATGTACCAACTTCTATGCCACTAAAAAATAATAGTTCTAAAGTGAACAATCAAGATCACATATTGGATTAAATTGGACTGACTGACCATTTTTAAAATTGTTTTTAATTAAAATATTGATTTACCCTTTCCATGCATTCCCTTGAATTCATGACCTCTATTTTAATTGTGTGCTTGTGTGTGTGTGTGTGTGTGTGTGTTTATCTTAAAACGTAAATACAATCTTGTCATAAGCTGATTGATATCGGCAGCCCCTTCTAGCTGCTGAGATTCAATGATTTCAAGAAATTTCAAGAAAATGGCCTTCATCTATCTTTCAGATATAATTTATAAATCGGTCCTATGTTTGATAAAATATGAAATCTGCAAAAGAACTGACAAATTCAATGATGAAAAATATTATGCCAAAGAACTTTCCCATTTTGGTGTACACCGTCCCCTTAGATAGCACTAATTAGCAATAAGAGGTTCTTTAAGAAAAGACATCCTCTCACTATTTATCCCTAGTATACGAATGGACTTTTGGGCCCGTTCCACATAGATGAATACTCTCTCAGCCCTCAAGGGGGACGGTCTAGGTCCTGCTCCAAATGACATGACAGACTTTGAAGATCCCCCATAGAAGGCCTCACCCTCCCTGGGGAGCAGACAGGGGATGGGATGGGGTTGGGAGGACAGGGGAGGAGGGGAGGGTGAGGGAATTGGGATTGACATATAAAACAAGCTTGTTTCAAATTTAAATAAAAAATATTATCATAAAAAAGAAAAGGATCCTCTTCAGTGTTATATAAACCAGCATTGCATAGGCTTTGTACTGGTGCCTCTGAAAACATTTATTCAAGCCTGGGTATGGTGGAAAGCCCCTGCAATATCAACAGTCAGAGACCAAGGCAGGAGGATCAGTAGTACAAGCTCATCTTCAGCAATATAGGAATTTGAGGCTAGTCTCAGCTGTCTCAAAAAATACTAGATCTACAGAGGAACACTCAGAGGAGAGAACAGAACTGTCCTTAAAAGGAAGTCCAACAGAGGAGTAATTTTCAGTAGACAATCTACATCCCAGAAGCCAGGAAAGCAACATGAGAGAGCCCAGATGATAGCCAATAATCAGGCCATGGCCTCATTGAAATCAAATTGAGGAAATATAAAGTCAACTGCACATCCAGTATCTTCCCTTATCCATTTACATGTTTTGTTTGTTCATTTGACTTTTATTCCTGGAAGGCAAAATGCTGTGTAACTGCTTAGTGTGGCTGCAGAGGCAAAATGACTGTGTGCAGAAAAAAATGCCTCTACATGGGCTTGGAGGTAAAAGTGAAAGGTGTAAATTCATTTGAAGCAACATATTTCAGGAGTAAATTCATTTGAAGCAACATATTTCAGGAAACAAGATTTAAATTGCTTCCTTACCCCACGGTACTGGGATTCATTGAAAATCTGAGGTGGCAGAGGATACCCTGTAGCTGGTCGACTGTCTTCAGGTACATTTTCTCTCATCCACTTCCGATTCTCTTCATTAGCTGCAATATCTTTTTCTTCAAATCCTATTTTGTTGGCTTCCAAGAAACCAAGTACATCCTGCTGCTTCTTCTTAATCTAGGAGCCAAAGGGGATGGGCAAAATGATACTGTTAGTTTTATTCCTTTCTTTTCTTCTGTTGGACACAGCAGATTTTTTTAACAATATATGTATATTCAAATCATATATGCATGCAATAACAGTTAATGAAAAAACAAGCCATGAATTTGAAGGGAAGTGGAAGAGGATGTGTATGGGAATGTTTAGAGGGAGCAAAATGAAGGAACAAGTATAAATTACAATCTCAAAAGTAAACAAAAAATGACAAAGTTTTAATGAAAAGTAATGAGATCTTCACTACGAGGTCAAAATAATTTACTATTCAATTCTAGTGATAGAGATTTCAACAAAGTCATTGCTTAGGAGCCAGCAGACACGAATTTAGATACAGATGAAATTTGTGGTGCAGAAGATACATTTTCCCTCAACACTGTCTTGTTGATGATGTCTCACAATGAAGATCCTTTTACAGCTCTATCTTTCCCCTTTTTTTGCACTAAAAGTTCCCATATAGAATAATGCTGGTACAATTCTTGCTCATTCATATCACTAACTACACAAGAATGCCTAGTTCAAGAACCTTGATCAGCAGAAGTGACTCTATATGCCTCAGAATCACCCAAGCCTCATTTTTATGGTTCAGACCGAAGAGCTGAGCCTGCCTGTACACTAAGTTTGCAACATAACCTATACTACTCATTAGCTCATAATATGCACAGTTAAGACAACTGCCACATGTCTGTGCTACCTCATTAGATTATTATGTAGAGAGTACATACTTGTTTTGTTTCCTTATCACACCAAGTAACAACTTCCTAGGATTCTCCTATGAAATGCATTTGCTTGAGAACCTGATTTCACATGCCTATGTTCATATAACTATGACACTTCTTAAACTATCTGGACTATATAAAGAATACGTAAGAAAAATTATTTTATTCTGTCATGCTCAAAGGACACACAAAGCAGAGGCATTTAAAAAAAAGTCAAAGTAAAATATATTACAAAGAAGTATTACACACAATGGAAATCAAATTGTAAAGAAAGTCATATGCAAAGCCCTTCCAAATTCACATTTCCCTCCCATAACTATGTATACATGTAGGACTTGTACTTTGGTCCAAATTATTTGTAACCATGGCTACCTAATTCACTTTAAAGAATACAACTCAAGAAAAGCTTCTCAATTTACCCCAGTAAATTTCTAGTGCCTATTTAGGTGGACGATTAGAAGTCCTTTCAAAAAGATCAATTACAATCTAATAAAATATACCACAAGATGAATTATCCTAATAGTGCTATTTCTTTACTAATATATAAAATTAAACTTTCATTTCTAAATAGAAATTTTAAAAAATCACGGCGAGCCAAAAAGTACAAACATCTAGTGTGCTAATGCTGGAAGGAAGTCTCAAGTCAGTGACTTGCAACCTCTGTCACACAGTAGTGGAGTTCAGTCAACATGAAATGCACCAAGTAATTTGTGACTTGTCACCCTATTTATAGATCTGAGTAGATACAAAATGTGGTACTTTCATAAACCTAAAATTTCAACAACAAGAATTATACATACTAACAGATTATCATCAGAAAGTGTACCTAGCAATGATTTAATAGTATCTCTTAGATCCATCATTAGTGATAAATAAACACTTTGAGTCTTTATGCCTAAAGAAAAGTAGTACTTCTGCCTCTCTAAGTATTACAATCTACTGGGAGACCTGAGACATACACACAAACTCAAATGTAACACACTATTAAGTTAGATGCTATGAGAACAACACGGGATGGTTAAGTGAGAAGGGACCAGTGAATTCCAAAGCCAATGACAGAAAAGGAAGAGTAAACACTAGTTACTATCAGCAATGCCTTTAGGCTAAGTGTAATAATGTCAGCACCAAGGTAAGAATCTCTATCCATCTTCATGTTTTTAGTCAAAGAAGGTGAACATAGTAAAGATCAATAAAACTGGGCCTGGGAAGCAAGCATAAGATCCTGAATTTTTATCCAGAAGGAGTTTTTTAAAAGCTGAGCATGATGGCCTTCATATATAATGTAAGCATTGGAAAGGCAATGCTAGACAGATCCCTGCAGTACACTACTAGTCCATTTGGCAAACTCTGGGACAGTGTGGACCTCTCTTAAAAACAAGGCGAACTGTAACCGAGGAAAAACATTCTCTCTGCCTCCATTCTCTCTCTCTCTCTCTCTCTCTCTCTCTCTCTCTCTCTCTCTCTCTCTCTCTCTCTCTCTCTCTCTCTCTCTCTCTCTCTCTCTCTCTCTCACACACACACACACACACACACACACACACAAACACACAGGCAAGTTATGAAAACTCAGCCCCAGAGTGACAACACACTGTACTTAAATTGAAGGCTTAGTTTTATAAAATAAGCTTAGTAATGTGCTACATTACTGCTAATATATTCCTTACAAATAACTGAGATCTACAAATAAAAAAAAAATTGTGTAGTTAAAGATTTTTTTTTCTTTTCGGCAAATTCTAATTTGTAATCCAGTCAACTCCCTCATTTACAAATTCAGATATAAAAATTCTCCCAGTTGTTCTCTTTATTTCAAACTGTACTCAGAAGGGCAACTTGACAACAACAAAAAATCCTGCCTTTGCATAACCTGTGCAAAGCTATTTAACAGTGCTTGGAAATGAACTAATAGCAGCGAGAGTTTCCTTTCCTCTCGTTTTATTATATTTTCAAAATTCTTGGGTCACAATCAACCATGTAAATAAAGCCTGCAACGCATACTGGTTTACAACAATGCAACAATTCCAAGTTAAGGTGAGTATTAAGAATTCCCCAATGGCAAGGGCAAGCTGGTTAGCAAACTGGATTTGACTGAGTGACTTTGCCTCAATGACAAGGTGGAAGAGCAAATGAGGATGATTTCCAGCATCAACTTCGGGCCTCTACGTGCACCCACACACTTATGCATGTGTGCCTGCACTCAGTCAAAAATAAGCAAACACACATATGGACCCCACACACATACACAAAAAACCGAGGAAGGAAGGAGAGAGACAAGGTTAAGAAAGAATTCCCCTATCCAGGCACAGTGGTTCATGCCTATAATCCTATTACTTAAGGACACTGAGCCAGAAGATCACTGGTTTTGAGGCCAGCATGGGTTAGAAGTTGAGATTTTTGCCTAGAGAACCCCCTACATAAATTCTAAATGTTATTTGATAAAGGTACAGAAAATGCCTTCCAACGTAATTCCAGGAAGCTATTTCCAAGTTTTTCTCTATGCTAGTATTAAGAAGGGAGACTACTGCTTTGCTGTAGAACAATCTTTGTCCACTGTAAATATGTATTGTTTTCATTGAAAAATAAAGCGGATTGTCTGATAGCTAGGCAAGATTTTCCAGGCAGACAGAATGCTGGGAAGAAAGAGGGCAGAGTCAAAGGAGTCTCCAGCCTAACAGAAAAGAAGCAGGCATGCAGGAGAGGTAAAAGCCATGAGTTTCCGGGTAGCACATAGATTAAGTCGTAAAAGCTAGTTAGTAATAAGCCTGAGCTATGGACCTAGCATTTGCAATTAATATTAAGTCTCTGTGTTGGTTATTTGGGAACTGGCAGGTGGGAAAGAAAAGACCTCCTACAGTACTTGTCCCCACTAATGCAATTCTAACCTATTCCTCCAGGTCCATTCCCTGTGTGGAGTTCTCAGTAGGGTCTCTACTATCTCCTTCTGACTTCAAGCAGTCTACAACAACCAGCCTGCAGCAGTCCCACCTAATCCTGCGGCAGTCCCACCTCATCCGCATAGTATTAGGCTCCCATTCATCACTGAAATTGTTCATAGGATTGAGCTTTTATGGTACAACTATGTATTTTCACAAGAATTATGTAATTGTGCTCTCTCTCTCTCTCTCTCTCTCACCTAGCACACACACAGGTAGTGCATAGGGCGTAAAGATACTGGACAGAGATTGCTCACACCCTGTCTGAGACTAACAGGATGGCATGAGATCTCATCACACTATTCTGTATGGCAATTTAAATTTTATGAAATATTTTTTCTGGATTCATCAATAATTTGCATCATGGTTTGCCACAAACAGCTAAAAAGTGAAATCATGGAAATGAGGGGCAAGGCTATTTGTCACATTGTCAATCATTCCATACACTGATGTTTATAGCCCTTTGGTGAGCTGATAAGGTACCTGAGCATAGGGGCCATACCTTTCTCTTCTGCCTTCCCATACAGTACATGCATGAGTCTGATAAGAAAGTTAATGTTAAGTACTTAATTATCTACAACAGTTTTAAGTGTAGCACAGCCAAACAACCTGTTTTGGTTCTTTTAAAATTTACATCAAATTTAATTTGCCCATTATCTTTATCCACACAGATTCCCATTCATCCATTACCCAGTTTCTCCTATTATCGATATCTTATCTCAAAGAACTACATCTGTTTTAAAGTAAGAAGCTAATATCAGTGCCATACTATCAACTAAACCCCCGACTATTTGAACCTCATCACTTTTCCCTTTAATTCCATCTTCCTGTTCCCTCTCAGGATTATATTTAGTCATCATGTCGCCTTAGTTTCCTCTGGTCTGTGACAGTGTCTCATACTGTTTTCCCCATGATCTTGGCAAGTTTGAAGTACACTGGTCAGATGCCTCTCAGGACAGACTTTACCCTATGTTTTTCTCATATGGTTAGACTGGGAGACATTATGAATTTTGGGGGAAAGAGTAAAAATGATATACAACTTTCACATTCTACCATGCCAGAGAACACCTGATAGAATACTAACTTACTAGGGTGACATCAACTTTGATCACTTGGTAAATAAACCCAGTATGTGTAGGATTTCTTCATGGCTTTTTCCATTTCCACATTGTGTATTTGAAAGTAAATCATTTTATCATTCTACACTAAGTATTTGGGAATCAATAAGACAAACCTACACTTGAAGAAAGTTTTATATTCTTTATAAAACTCTAACTTCATTGTTACTCAATCCGGCTGTACTTCTTAGTCAGAG